AAAAGAAACAAGTCAACAAAGAAAGTAATTTTTAAAAAGCAAGTAATTTAGTTGTAAGATTTAATCTGCTTTTCTTTGGGGACCTCTGGAAAGCTAATTTTTCGCTTTTGTTTTTAAATGTAGCTTTCTGCAGTTCTCTCCTCTGTACTGCTCATGAGGCCAGAGACACTGACCTCTGCTGTAGACCAGAGCGGGGCAGATCCCAAAGGAAGCCCATCCCACAGAGCTGCTCTCTTCGCCCATCCAGGTGGTGAAGATGCTCTTGGAATCAGATAGCATGATGAATGCACAACCTTGGCACTGTATTAAAAACTGTACATTTTAAAAGGGTGAATTGTTTGGTATGTGAATTATATCTTGGTTTTTAAAGATCTATTATGCTCTAGTTCTCTGAGCTGACATCTCTGGGGTATTTCAGGATACAGTACAGTAAAACTGAAAATACTACGCATGTGCACTTACTGCATTAAGGCACGAAATTCTACCTGAAGGGCCATCATCTTCCTATTAATTCCAAGAAGCTCTATTAATACCACCTAACCTCCACCTCACCCTCCCTCACAAAAGCATGAGAGGAATAAGGCATGAGATTACCTGGAATTACCATCTCCTGAGCAGTGATTCATAACCAGGGAAGATTTTGCTGGTTGGCTGTGCAGCTAAGTGGGTGCCACTGACATCTACTAGACAGAGGCAAGGAAGCTACTACTGAACACAGCACACAGAGCACTGCTCACAGCAAAAAGTTCACCGGCCCAAAATGTCAAATGATGGTGAGATTTAAAAACTCTGCTGTGGAGTGCTGGTTCTCCACAGCACTCCAGGCTGGTCTCCAGGCCACCTCACAACCAGAAATGCAAAATCCCAGGCCCCAGCTAGAAACACCAAGCATGGGGCGCAGCAATCAGTGTTGTGTCCAGGTGATGCTCACCAGGTGATGCTCACCAATACCGAGCGCAGAGAAGACTCCAGGAATCGGCAAATTCAGTAAAGTCTCAAGGTTCCAAAATTAACGTACACAAATCAGTAGCATCTCTACATACTAATAACAGTCAAACTAAGACTCAAATCATAAACTAAATGCCATTTACAATAGCTACTAATGAAATGAAATATCTAGGAATATACTTAGCCAGGGAGGTGAAAGAACTCTTCAAGGAGAACTAACTACAAAACATTGATAAAAGAAATCACAAATGGCACAACAAATGGAAAGACATCCTATACTCATGGACTGGAAAAGTTTACACTTCAAAATGTCCGTACTGCCCAAAGCAATTCACAGATTCAACGCAATTCCCATCCAAATACCAGTATCATTTTTTACAGATGTAGAAAAAACAATCCCAAACTTCATATGGAACCAAAAAAGAGCCAAAGCAATACTAAGCAAAAAGAACAAATCTGGAGGCATCACATTACCTGACTTCAAATTATATTCAATACTACAAGGCTATGCTAACCAAAACAGCAGGGTACTGGTGTAAAGTTAGAGACTCAAAACAATAGAACAGAATGGAGAACCCGGAAATAAAGCCAAGAACCAACTGATTTTTGACAAAACAGACAAAAACATACAGTGGGGGAAAGACGCCTTATTCAATAAATGGTGATGAAAAAATTGGATAGCCACACGCAGAAGAAGGAAACTAGACCCCTATCCCTCACAACACACAAAAATTAACTCAAGATGGATAAAGACTTAAATGTAAGACCTGAAATCATAAGAATTCTACAAGAAAATATAGGAAAGACTCTTCTGGATATAAGCCTAGACAAAGAATTGATGATTAGGACCCCAGAAGCAAATACTACCACACAGATAAATAAATGGGACTTAATTAAACTATGATGTTTTTGCACAGTAAAGGAAATAATCAACAGACTAAATAGTCTATAAAATGGGAGAAAATATTCACACACTATACATCTGACAAAGGCTAATATACAGAATCTTCAAAGAACTCAAATCAGCAAGAAAAAAACAGCCC